ATTGACTGGGCGACTGCTTGCTCGTTGTCAGCTGGTCCGGCGGGGCGACTAGATAATCGCCGCACACTCAAGGCATAACACATGATTCGCCACACGTATAAAAACTCGCGACAGTCTAAGAAATCGATTGCTACATCGCCGGCAGCCCAGAGTTTTTATGCCCACATAACAATAAGTTTTTATATCGCAGGGGTTATCGTTGGGGAGTGAGGGCACGACAGTGACACCTGACACGCCACGCCTGTTAACTAAATTCGTCACTTTTCTTAATGCAGACTCATTTGACTATTGTGGACTATTTTTATTCAGTTAGATATCTAGAAGCAATATTCTAGAAGTATATTCTAGATTCTAGGCACTTGTAACTTTTGCGGATGTGGCGCAGCATTGATCTATGCATGGGGTACCCTGACTGGGGAGGAGAAAAACGAAAGTAAAACCTTGCCCAGAACTCCCGCGCATTCCTAGAGATTCAGTACAAGTTTTTTTAACATACTCAAAGTAACTAAAAACACGCTCTGAAGTTCTGAACTTGCTCAGTCCGATGTAAAAGAAAGTTGAAAAGAAAAGGAAATGAAGTAAAAAAAAAGAAACTTGAAAATAACCATACCATCATTACCATGATTATAATTCTTGATTTCCTGTCTTTGTCATGTTACCTGACTATGTGTACTGTGTAGTGCATATCTGTCTGTGTGAATGAAATTGAATAAGAATGGGATTGGTTTCTTAGTCGAGTGAAATGAGATTAAAAAAAATGTGATCAAATGTAATTTGTTGACGATTTCTTAACACTGATGTTACACACCCGGTGTAGCACCAAGAAACGGTATTGCTAGGGTTAGTATTTTTGATATTGACGTTAGTCACACAGCCTGGTTGGGTTAATACTGGTGCTGAGTGCTGAATGCTGATGAATAATATTAGAGTCAGTGCATCAAAATTATGAAAATTTTAACAAAATCATGCTATGAAAAAGTAGCGCTGGCCAAGCCTAAAATAGCTCCCGTAAAAAAAAGTAATTTTTAGGCTGCCACACAGGAAATGAAAAATTTACCAAACTTATTATTTTGTTATTTTCTACTAGCCTTCTACATTATTCTAATGAAATGAATGTTGAATTTAATCAAATATAAACTCAAAATAGTCAAATTCCGAAGCCTAAAGTCCATGCGAAGTACACAAACTCTCCATGTTTGTTGTGTTCGATTTTCTAGGTCATGCTGTTAAACCTCTGCTAATTCGATAATACTCGGCATCCCCGACCAATCACTGAATCAGCGATCGCGTAATAAAATATGATAATTTTGATGATAATAGGAATAATGGCCGGTCTTCAGAGACCGCTGATCTTTGAAATCGACTTGCGGACTTGTTCCGATTTACTACGCATCAGTGTATCGAAACGTGTAAAAAATATAATGTTTAAGAATACCTTAGAATGCACATCACCAAATTGCACCACCCCCCCCCCTATAAAAACGTCCCCACATCCGAGTCATTCACTTTGCTATGACAGAAATCCTGGACCAGTGCCTACTGACCAGGACCAGTGCTTCCTCAGAGGCACTGGTCCTGCTGGACCAGTGCCTCCAATTATCAGTTTTTCACCCTGTATTTACTGGCAAATTCGCTCGTGTGCCTGTGTCCGGCGTATTTTGTCGAGCGATCGAATTTTTTAAACCAATCGGACGTGTTGTTGATATCATGTGATGCATCATGTGATCATGTGATTCCGTCGACTGGCGTACGCGTACGCTCTCAAATTCACTACGTGTGCCCCTTCGTGATCGGGCGTATAAATTCGCTGGCGATTTTAATCGTCGCGATCGGGCGAAAAAATACGCTCGTGTGCCCCCAGCTTTAGAGGAAATTATCTGCAATAATAGGTGAAAGAGAGTATAGAAACATTAAGACTGGTAGTAAATAGATTTCGTATTTATTTAGCATTATATTTTATTGAAACGCTCTAAGTGCCTGTGGCTAGCGCGGGTCCGGCACTAGTGAGCGGGCACAATGTATTTCCAAGTGGAGGGTTGGGCAGGTTGCACGCGGTTGCAGCCGATACCAGAGCATATAAATCCTCTTTTCCCGCTTTTAGCACCTCACTGCGCGTTTTTCAAGAATGGCTACAAGAAAGTGTGTAAGATGTGCTGCTTCAATAAGAAAGAAAAAAGGTGGAGCATCGGAAGGATATTATGGCTATGGCATCAATTGCAAGCTTATTGGTCAGAAAGCGACCGTCTCTGATGCTTTGCAGATTGAACAGGGAGATGGGTTAAGGTAAATATTTTTATTGCAAGTTATGTCTTCAGTCACTTCAATACTATACTATATTGTTTGATAGTATCATGTGCAGTATTGTTGCTGTTAACTGTAGAACTACTAGAGTGATTACTAGGAAAAATTAGACAACGGCGGTAATGTCTAGTTTGAGAAAAACTATTAAATTAATAAATAATATTTAATAAAATAAAATTATTTAATTACAATATAAATTATTATTTAAAATTAAATAATAATAAAATTCTGTTATATTAATTTATTATATTTGTTATTTTAATAAATTTTAAAGCTATATGTGTTCAATACATTGTATAGTCAGGGTTCTGGCCAGGATTTTTTAGTGCCGGGCGCATCCAGTTGCGACGATGCAAGCGCCGTAGGCGCGAAGCTAATATAGGGGGGTTTTTGGGGCATGCCCCCCAGAAAATTTGTGATTTTGGATAGTCTGAAACTCAATTTCCTGCATTCTGAGCAATAAAAAGCCCATAGATCATACCTTTTTTTCTTTTTTTCTTTTTTCTTTTTTTAATATCAAAAATTAGTGCCGGGCGGAGATATATACTGCCGGGCGGCAACCGCGAGTGCCGGGCACACCCGCCCACCGCTGCCCACTGTGGGCAGAACCCTGTATAGTAGTTATTGTATGTTATTTAACAATTATTTGCTGAAGGCTCGGTGAATCTTGTTGAATAATCCCCGAGACGAAGTCGAGAGGATTATTCAACAAGATTCACCGAGCCTGAGGTGAATAATTGTTTTAGTATCATTGCCCTTTCCTTTCACAGCATTTTCTTTAAATTTGTCAATTTCGGCTTCCATAACATTTACAAATCTAGCCGTCATTTTTGGCGCCACTACAATGTAAACCCTAGAGGTGATTATCGAAAAATAATCACCTAGGTCTCGACCAATCAGCTCGCAGGATTTCCTATAATCACTCTGGCGATGATACTAATGTGTAATATTGTTTTTGTGGCCACAATAATAATTATATAATGACGAATAAAAAAGAAAAGAAGTGGAAATATGTTTTTGAACATTTCAGTGACAACACATGCAATAATTATGTAATAACATAATTACAATACAATAATTATATAATAACGCTTAAAAAAGCAGTGGAAATATGTACTCTGTGTTTTTGAACATTTCAGTGGCAACACATATACGTCTGGCGCAGTCTGCCCAAAGTGCCATTATATCTTGGGCAAAATGTACAAAGGGCTGCAAACAGTCCCAACATCGGCATCAGGTATGGAAAAACATCTGCAATTCAGCAAATGGATTTTTAAGAATTATAGAAATATTGCCAATTGAACTTTTAATGATGTATATTGATTAATATAAATAAGAAAGTTAGTGCTCTTTGCTGTATTGTTAAAAGTGATTAATGTTAAACACGAAGTATACCCATATTTAATAATACTTGAAAGTTTAAATCAAATCCTATCTTCAATGTTATCTTCAAATATTTTAAATTGTTATGTATAATGTAAAGGTGCCAGCTCTCCGGCTCAAAGGACGCCGCACAAGGTCAACAAGCAATGTCTTGTTTTTACTCCCCGGCAAGGCAAACGCACCAATCCAGGAAAGAGTGGAACAACAAATTTAAAAAAAGTATAATAACTATTTTAATTGCACATTGAATATGAATTTGTTACAATAATGATGTGGTGTTACTGCAAATTATTATGTAAAACTACTATTAAACTTTTTTCCAGTTCCGTAATTATAAGGCAAGTGTCTGTAGGATGCTGCACAAGTCAAACTATGCACAAATGCTTGCTGTGCTGTGGGGCTCAAGCCAGGCGTTCCGCACAGCATTGACAAAGTTTCTCAGGAAGCAAGTTTATTCGGAGGTAAAGGAATTCGGGGAAAAACCGTCAGTACTACGCCAAAATTTAAGCTTGGCCAGCATCAATAGTTTCAACTGGAACACTGCTATTGGCGAAATTGAAGCTGGCATGCCACTCATCTTCAACACCTACTGTGGCATGATGGAGAAGAGGAGACGTTCAAGTGGTCGCATCGTGTCTGTTGCACCAAGCAAACCAAGGCTGGGTGCATCCATTGGCATCATGTTGGCTAACAGACAGCCAAAGGCCTACAAACTTCTGCCAGCATGGATTGGGGTCGAGCTGTGGAGGAGTGGCTGCAAGCAGAAGGTGGGCTGATCTCTCAGTGTTAACATGATAAATGTTAAACTCTTTTGCAAAATTCGACAGGAAATTTAAATCCTCTCAGCTTATGCAGAAACTTGAAAATATTTTTTAAACAGGTTTTCTCGAGCTTGAGTCACGTTGGCATCTGCCAAACGGAGTCATCTGCTCGACGATGTGTCGATAAGATAGCGAGTGAGTTCGACAAAGAATTACGCCAATGGAAGAATGACATAGAGGTGGGTTAATGACTTGATGCTTAAGTGTTATTTTGTAGTGACAGAGTAACTGATAGGTGTACATGCCTATTGCATTTGTTAAAAGCAAATGGTTTCTTTTTGTTATTGACTTTTAGTGTGGCGCCAATAGCACGTTGCCAATAATGGGGCAGACAGCAACAGATGATTTGGGTGTACGCGCACTCGATTTTTCATCTGATGCTGCTGCTGCTGATGATGATGAGGACGATGATGATGCTGCTGCTGATGCTGCTGCTGATGGTGATGATGACGATGATGATGCTGCTGCTGCTGCTGATGATGCTGCTGCTGCTGCTGATGATGATGATGATGACGATGATGCTGCTGCTGCTGCTGCTGCTGCTGCTGATGATGATGATGATGATGATTGCGGTGGAGGCGAGAAGACCTGCCTACAGCAACAATCTGTGAAAAGTAAAGGCAGCAGTAAGTATCTAATGAAATTTTACTATTATTTCATCGCTTTGTGAAAAATAATTCTGGTGGTAACTGTCAAATTGTCTATAGATCCTGGATTCTCCTTTTGCTGGGACAACATCAAACCGCAATCGAGTGTTTGGCACCAAGGGAGTGAAGCCTCCAGCAAGATGCTCCTGATGGCCAACTCGTATGCTGTTCTGCACAGAGTGTCATTTCGGTAAGCATGGTAAAGGAATAAAAACTAACACTCCAAACAGCCTACTGTGTTTTAGCAGTGCTGCATTAGACTACAGTAACACACTTACTGGATTTTCATGCAACAGGGACTATGATGAAGAAGGCACCGTGGCAGCCAGCACGATCCCATTGCAGTGTTTCGTACCAAGTCGCGAAGACTACACACATCTTCGTGAAACAATGGAGACACTTGTGTGCCAAACACTTTTGCTGTACTTCTCAACATCTGTGAACGATGACAGTGGTTGCAACCCACACATTCCACATCGTTACTCCGCAGAGATGCGCACGAAGAGCAGACTTGTAAGCTTTCATACATGTTACTTGTCCACAGTTCTGGCACACTAATATAAGATTGCCAAAGTTTCAGCTGCGCTGATGTATGTTGTTCATGGAAATAAGCACCACTGCATTTTATCTTAACACATAGGTCAACATGGGAGTGATTCCGGAAGACCCTACAACAATGGCTGGTGTTATCCGGGTCACGGATGTGTTGCTGCAGTATGTGCCGAGACTGATGAATGGCCGGCTCTACACGATACCTTGCCATGCGGACGCCCTGACAGTGGAACGCATCCTCGATGCCAAGAGGGCCAGAGCTGCAGGGCACACCAAGATGGAGCGACTGCAGGGGGTGGAACCAGTTCCACAGGAGTTCCACAAGCGCGGAGTCCTGCTGCAAGATACTATGAACCTACTGTTCGATGCGTGCAGTGCAATCGATAGAGGCACTCTTAGCAACATTAAGAATGTCTTCAACCATAGGTACGGCGCTCACTAATAGTGCAAAACTATTATTTGACACTGGAATCGTACATAAGCACATGCCATAGCATTTCATAAATAATGAAGCTATTTTTCTTTTTTTAATTTACAGAAATCTAAATAAACATGTCATGGGCAATTTTAACGATGTAGACGATTTTCTACACTTTGTCACTGACGCGATGATTTGCACCCTAGCATTGCAAATATGCTCCATGGAATCACTAGATGACACACTAACAATGAATGTCACACAGCTGGCGAAGAGCATTGTTGCCCATGTTTGGCTGCAGGTATGTATTCTTGATGACAACCAAACTGTGTTCAAACCTAACTGTACTTGAAATTAATTTTATTGCAGTTAACAGCAGCACATCAATTCCTCACTTGATGACCAAATTTATTGTTACAGTTGCCAATGGCAGACGTTGCGGAGGTGATCGACGCTGAAGTGGACACAAGTGGACAAGTGGACGATGAATATACGAGCATCGATTACCCATTCTGCGTATGCATGGAAGGTGTGTTTTTACTGTACTGCTATACACGTAATTAACAAAATGTAATCATACACAGTCGCTCATTTTATCAAGTAGGAACACTTGTGGCTACTTTGAACACTGCAAATATAAAGATTTATTTTACATTTTTACTTTTGCAGACATAGGCACAGAGATGATCGCCTGCGATAATTCGGAGTGCGACAGCGGCAGCTGGTTTCACCTAGGTTGCGTCAACCTGAGTGAAAGCACCTTTCCACAAGGTACCTGGTTCTGCTGTGACAACTGTAAGTTGTCGCGTCCCAACATCAGTCACCTGACAGGAAGTCGGAAAGACCACGTCTCGGAGTACAGCAGATCTGTACTTTGGCGAGGTCTGCTGGACCGAGCAGGCAGGTCTGCTGTGAGAGAGGGAGATGGCGCTGCAATGCTCCGGATGTGGAGAGTGGCCATGCCAGACTTCTGGAACAACAAGCACTACAAGTACCTAATTATAGGACACCGCCTCCTCACAGGTACACATATTAAACAATTTACTAAAATTGTTTTATTAAACAATTCACTAAAATTGTTTGTTAGTGCTAACTAGCCATACCCGTCCATCCCCGTTAGGTGGTCAAAACTAAAAATAAATAAATAAAGAAAAAATAAGAAAAAATATTAACACATATAAGATCCGATAGGTGGCGTCGTGTTTTCGTGTTGTTGTGACGTTGCCATGCAACTATTTTAAATGTTTTTGAACGTGGGATGTGAAAAAAATGGAACTGAAAAAAATAGCCCATGCAACGTGTCATAATCTGTAGAATGTTCCAACCAAGTTTGGAGAGGATCTGTTGAGCGGTGCGGAAACGTATAGCTGGACACACACACACACACACACAGAAATTCTCCAATTTATAGCAAGATTAGAATCAAGACATAAGTGTATTCTATCAAACTGATATGTAACTAATTATGTAGGTGTAGCTGGCTGGTTACCACCGCGAATTGCGCATGACATCACATGGAACCGCACAGCAAACCTGAACGGAGGAGCAGGGAACAACGTGCCGCTTGACAGAGTTTGCGAATTTCTCGATGATGACTTCCAAGGTAGGTGCAACTGAGACACTACAGAATCTCGTGGTGTGTAAGTGTAACGGACGGAACTAATGCGTTTGAGGTTTTCGGTTAGCTTTGTATTACAATTAACGTGTTGAGGCCATGATGCCGAGGCGCGACGAGGATTGACACTGTGTCTTCCAATCACAGCCTACGCCGCACCTCTCTTTGATATTTTTATAGGTGGGGACCCATAACAGCACCAAATCGCTGATCTCACGAACTAGGGCATTCTGCTAGGCTAGAACTGTTGCCTACGATAGTTTGGCACAAACCGCTGCGCTTCTTCCTTCTGTTGCATTTTTGCATCTCCGTAATCAGAATAAGCCCCGTCTTCTTTGTTGATGGACATGAATGGGGCGTCACCGACGTGACCAGAGGCGTGTTCAGGAGAGCGAACGCTCGCGAGACACTGCGCAAGCTCCAGAGGCTGTTCGCGCAGCGCGCGAGTTCTTTACAAGATGGCACCGGGCAATCTGGCGAATGGGAATCTAACATTTCTGACTTCAATTTGCAATCTATTTCAACTTCATTTCATTTTTCATTCATTCATTTACTTCTAAATTCAATTCGTATCAATTTCGTCTGCTAATTCGTTTAACAGTACTTGTTCGAAGACGTTAAAATCTTGCGATTAAAATCTGCTGAGTAACCCTCCATGGTGGCTGCCGTCTTGGATAAAGCCAGCGCACAGCGAGCGCTCGTGTGTCGTCCAAGAAGCGCTGCGTTCGTGCATCGAGCGTTCGCATCGAGCGTTCGCATCAAGCGCACGCTCTGTTGAACATGCCTCAGTTCATGTACCTACTGACTTTACTTTTTGTAAATAATGAAATGCTCGGCCGATGCATTTCGCATCGAAGAGGAAAATTTTCGGCATTTTCACTCGCTGTCGGAAGTGAACGAGTGTGTCATTCATTGAACATTTAATCAAAATACAGCACACTGCACAACAGAGGTTCATGCTCTGTTCGGCGCCAATGTTTACTTGCCACAGCGCCATCTCTTGGATGTTTTATAAGTAAATATGGGGATTTTCAATAAAATAATGCGTTTTTAATGTATTTACCACGATTTACGTATAGAAATTATAGGTTGTTTTTACTGATTTCTCCAGATTTTTCCTTGGAGTTTTTATCGTCTTTCAATGCCTTTCGGTAGATTTTTCTGCGTTTTCTGCGTGATTATTATTTTGCGCAGGCACTCATTTTGGAAATCCTCCAACATTTTTACTTCTTCCTTAGTTAAAGTGTCTACGTCACGAATTTCCTGAAATTTATAGTTGAAAACCTTATTTTTGTAATTTTTTTACATCAAAAAGTTAGTACTCTAACGTTACTAAAATATATCCTAAAGCTCTCACCTGATATAAATGTTTTTACGTTGGTTAAATTTGCAAAAATCTTGACGATTTGAATAGTGTTACCTAACACTATTTACACATTACTGGCGTCACTCGGTTGCTGCACTGGTTGCTTGTGGTCGATGTCATCGTGATTTGTGTATGGTGCACAAAGTGGTGCCCAAACAAGTTTCTGTTTGATTTGTGTTGGCTATATAGAATATACAATATAGGAAAAATAAATAATATATGTTCATGTGTATTATGTTTGAAAAATTATTATTAAAACTGCGAAATGTTATTTGTGTTTTTTTAATTTTCTGCCAACAAAAATGTTTGTGACATCCCCTTCAGGATCGATCAGAAGCTAGATAAACTAAACGATAAACAATGGTGGGCAGACCAGTGCATCGGAAAGAAAACGAAAGAGAAAAAAGCAGAAAGAAGATTATATGAGAAACTCCCGCTTAAGTTTACAAGGAATTTTCATGGCTGCCACAATAATTTTGCCAATGCCTCGTTTACCGCAAAATGTCGCTAATATGATGCGCCGCTCGATGCTGTACCACGCCGCCGGGCGGCGATCCCAGATTCCATCGAAAGAATGCCAATAACGACATCGGCTCAGCTGCGTCTGGCTCCACACATAAATTTTCGAATTCATGGCGGTTGTTGTTGAATCGAACGTTTGGTTACATCGAATGCACCGGCAAATTAGGGAGTATAAAGAAGGTATATGAGCATGAAAAGTAAATAGAAACGCTAATTGTATTTTCATACATTTTATTTTGTACAAATAACACAAAAATATACTACTTGCTGGTGCTCGAAATTCGTGACGTAGACAGTTTAAGTTAGTACATGTTTCACTGTTATTGAGGAAGTAAGGTCAAACTGCATTCGTATAATTTTACTCTTGCTTCTATAGTATGGTTTCCATAATTTTGCTCCTCTGCCCATGATTTTTCTGTACCAAATTTCCTTCATCATGAACCTACATTTTTCAGTTCGGACTCATCATATCGTTATAACCTCCTATATCATTAGTTAAATCACCTGGGTTTGAATATTTGGTGCATTTTTTTATTACTTGGTTGCCTATTAATATCTCCTCTAGCTTTCTTGTTTGTGAATTATATAACCATTGTATTTGTTTTGGATTAAATTCTAATCTTTTTGATTCAGCTAATCTGGAGCATGACTGAGCGATTTTTGTTACTGTTTTATAATCTCCAATTCCTAGAATACGGTCGATATAAAATTATTGTCATCTTCTAAAACTACAGACCATCTGCTGACCGCTGTGGAGACGTGCGCCGGGCCTCGAATTTGGCGCACGTCTCCACTGCGGACAGCGCTTCATACTTGAACATTCCCGCGGTCGCGTGCGCATACCCTGCGGAACTGCGCGTCTCATCCGCGCGCAGCGCTTAGGATCAACAGGAAAGCTGTGCCACGCAATCTTGTATCATGTCTCTCTGGATTTCAGTGACCCTAAAGCACTGTGGAGGCAGTTACACTGATGCACAAATACAGCGGTGCGGTCGCATTGTTGGCCCTCTTGGCAAGGCGTTAGACGAAAGATTTTCAGAAACGGTGGGGAAAGTCGAGAACCGGGTGAAATTTTGCGACCTCAAGAAAGATTGGCGGGTAAATTTCATTGCAATATGTCATTGTTATTACAAATGTGTGAGAAATGCGTTGATTTTGTTTTCGAAGTGCCTTTCATTGGGAAATTGGTTTGAATGAACTCATTTCGAAATCTTATTAACTAATAAAACATGGCAAATAACATAAGGTTCTTCCATAAACATTTTAGGCTGATGTTGCCAAGTTTGTACACTTTTACAAGTCTGACCAGCTGTTCGCGGACAAGCCAGGGCGAAGGCACCGCGCATTTCCAGCGTTTCAGCACAGGTTAGAACAGGCTTTTCGTTTCTTGTACAAATAAGAACATCGCTACCAATATATTTTCTCAATTATGCGGCACAACGTTACATATCTTTTTTTTTCCAATGGCAGCCTCAAGATAAAAAATCCTGAGCTTCTGAAGGCACGTCTTTCAAGCTACAGCAACAAGCTGGATAGGCAGAGAGCTGTAATGATTCAGGATTAAGTTGCAGTAGCTTCAAGCCTACAAAGGTAAGTCTGCAAGATTAGCGGCAAAGTGAGCAGCAGCAGTAAGCTTCACACACGCAAGCACTGCAGCGGTTTCCACAGACACCGGACCGCACCACAACACGTGGCATTTTTTGCATGTGGATGGCCTCTAAAATTGCTCGCCTAGCACAACATTTCTCACTAGAAATTCGTTCACATACTTGTAGCATTTCAGGGCTCACAAGTCTATTGTCCAGTGAACGTGGACCAAGTAGTAATGTGGCCAAAGTTGGCAGCCCATCTCGGCCAGCTCGTCCCACCTCTTGCCAATAGTGCTGGGGCGATTTGCTTGGGCCAAAGTGAATGATATGCCTGATGTCCGTTACTTGAATGCCCATGCTGAAGGCAATGGTGCAGACAACGCAGTGTAAGATGGACCTCGTTTTGATGAAAGTATTTAACACATTGTTCCTGAATTTTTCCAATGTTGCCATGGTACATTATCCAATGGATGGTTGTCAGGCTGTGTATATATAATATAATATATTGACGTTAGTCACACAGCCTTGTCGGTCTAGGGGTTAGGTAGCCCGACCAGGCTGTGTGACTAACGTCAATATACACAGCCTGACATCCATTCATTGCATAATCTTATATCTCTACAAAAACTGCCGAACAATTACGTATATCTCAAATAAAATAATCATCTAAGCATTTCTGCCTTGTTTTGTATTAAGTATAACCTTCACCTTATAGTATTCCAGCGTTGTTATTAAAACTAATACCTCAGTTCGCTGTGCACAGTGTAAATTTCAAGAGCCAAACCTAAATTTCTTTTTAACCGCCAACCGCCATGTTTCCACTGCGCATGCGTTTCGACCGGAACGCGGAAAACCCGAAACGACATAACATTCCATAGGTTTGCAACTTGTGTTGGCGCGAGCATAAATAAGCATCATATACTCGTATATATATAAATATTAAAACATTGAAAACTAGGAAACATCAATCTACAACAACTTAATAATGACTGATCCTTGAAGTACCCCGCTGTCGACGCTGCTCCACTCAGAAAATTCTCCATGCACTGATACCCGCATCTTTTTGTCTGTTAGGAAACTTTCCAGCCATGCGATTGGTTTCCCCTGATTCCGTAGCCTTTTAGCTTACTTATGAGACAGCGGTGTGGAACCATGTCGAAGGCCTTTTGGTAATCCAAAAATACTGTGTCTATTGAAGCACCACAGTCCAATGCTGATGTCTCATTCTTCGAACGTTATTAGAAGATTTGTCAGGCAGCTCAGTGCTAGAAACTCGTGAAAATTTCAGGTAGCCCGGATATGAAAAGTCGGGCCAGTGAAAGTTTTAATTAACTGGCCCGAAACAAAGTTAGGTAGCCCGACAAAATTACCTGCACCATGCGCAAGGAAAAACTGTGGTAGAGACCGTAGAGTGTTTGTAGGGAAAATATGTTATAATGGTGCTTAGAACTTAGAAGTAATTTGTTTTGGTAGCATTGAGACAATTGATAAAAACAACCTATAGAATTATTTGTGATGAAAAAGTACACTTTTTATTAACGAAGTTGTATGAAATATAACATATAAAAAAGGAATTTTTTAACAAGATACAACATGAAACAAAAACAATTAAATAAGGAAAAGCATTCATCGCTGCATTAATTGCTAGGTGAAAAATCTACACATTTTACACATCTAACAGCAGTACTCCAGGATCAACTCGTCAACTGTTCTTTCGTCCAATTCTGAGTCTGCGCCAGAATCCTTGTCACTAGGAGACAAGCTAGTGTCACTGTCCACACTGCCTACAAGTTCTTGAAATTGAGCACCACTGCTTGTGCTGGGCTGAACATCAGGATCTTGGTCGTGTTGTGCCTGCAAGCCCATGCCCATAGTGGCACTGGCTGTAGCAGCTGCCTTGTTCTGCATTTTTTTCTTGCTCT